GACTTCTCGTTTGTGAGGAGCTCAAAGATCTTGCAAGAACCGACTCCAACTTCCTTTCTAAGCTCCGTGTGACTTCTTCCTCTTCCCAAAGATGACAATTCAGCTAAAGGGAAGGAGATTTGAGACGATAGAAGAGATTCAGGCAGAATCGCAGATGGTGCTTGACAGGCTGACAAAGAAAGATTTCCAGGGATGCTTCCAGGCTTGGCAGCGGCGCTGGGATCGTTGTGTTCACTCCCAGGGGAACTACTTCGAGGGTGATGGATAAATTTAATACCTGAGATAAGTGTACGGGTTTTTATATGCGCAGTCTGTAAACCTTCCGATCGCACCTCGTATACCACCACTCCCCCCAAACGACCTACATGGCGTGTAGCGGGACGGCTATACTTTACTTTTTGCTTTACATTGTTTTATACGTTTACATAATCCGTAGCCACATTATGACTAAATTTTAAACTGAAATGGCGTTGCAGAAATTCAAGGACGACATACAATATTTCGTAGGAATCAGGGGTGATACTTTGAGGCAGGCGGGCCACGCTGAAAGGTTTAATGTATTACGATGGTCTTATAATAAAAAAACTAACATTACAATAAACAGCTCAACTTACCGTATTAAAATTATCTTTTGTCTAGTGAGGATTAACATTGGTTCCAGAAATTAAATATAAATTTTCATCGAATCTTGTAAGAACAGAAATGGTGTAAACTTTAAAAGAATGATATTTTTCTGAGACAAGTATTTAATAACTGTCGCAGTTCTGTCCAAAAGGAAACTAAAGAAAATTAAGTCAAAAGTGCACATTGGAAAAACCTTGATATCTACTGCAGATCATATGAAAATTTACCACAAACATGGATCTAATTCTGTAACACACAACACAAACATCCCGACAGTTGAAAAATATGTTTCAGTTCAAATTTCGAAACTGTGTTGAGCTTTCATGTTATGGCGGAATCTTTCTAGATTTCTTTTCTTGACACCAATAATGAACTCGCTGCCGAACAAAACCAAATTTATTGAAAAGGCAAAATTAAACAAATGCATTAATACCGAATTTCGGGTCGTGGGGTGTTCGTCCCGATTTGCCATACCATAGGAACGGCCTAGTTATTTTATTACTGATATGTTAAGGGGCCGTATGTTAATTACCCTTTGTTTGGAATGTAGAACAATAATGGGTGTACAATATTTCGCTGCGATTCTAAATGCAGAATGTTTATTTATATCAATGCACAATATTCATCCTCGGATTTTAATTGTGGAGGGGGGTGCACTAGGCCGATGGTTTTCTTTGGGCGCCAAATACTCTTATGCGGGCGCTAGCGGGGTGTGAAATGAGAAGTGGCATTCTGTACGCCTGTAATAATATCTTAAGTTGCCCATTTGGTCCAAAATCACTCTATGAAAGCGAGGGTCGCGGAAATAAAGCCCTGTTTATTCAACACCTTAAGATTTAACACTAGACCGCATTACTCTACGACAGTGGTCGCCAACGCGGTGCCCGCGGGCGCCATGGCGCCCGCCAAGGCTTGGGGGCCCGCCTTGATACGGAAAGGTGTTATACTGAATAATGAAGACCGTTCAACCATGAACATTATAAAATCAGCACAGATCTCGACTTACTGAAGCCCATCTTGACAATTGTTTGCCAGCAGCATCATCATCCTACACTCCCAAATTTGAAAAACTGGCCGATGAAATGCAGCGCCAAACATCACACTAACTTCCCACTTGATTAATAATAATTGTACTTATAAAAGTGCGTATTTTTGATTGCATGGTTTCTTGTATCATTAAACGTCGTGTTGTTTCGTGTATTATTTGGTGTCCTTATCTTATTTGTCCAGAGAAAATAAAATTTGGCTTTGTTAATTGGTTGGTGCCCGCCACGATCTCATGAACTCTCAAATGTGCCCGTAGGCACAAAAAGGTTGGGGACCACTGCTCTACGATAACTGTTGGGTAGCCTCAGATCCGACGCGGTCATGGTACCCATTCCGAGAACTCAACTCATATCATGCAGCCAGCTCTTTTAATAGCTTTTCAGTAGTGAGGAAAATTCGTTTGAAGGTGTCAAGAATTAAGAGACTTGCCCGGTGTCCTACGTGAGCGATTAAATGCGAGCGGTGCGAGTTGCGTGGGTGAAGCGGAAATATCAAACTGGCTGTTTGTATGGCGCTGTCCTAGGTTACAGCGAAGCGGTCGGCGACCAAAATCCAAGATCAAATATTTTGATATTTTCGCGCAGGTCGCTTCGCTGACCAGTAAGGCGCATGCGCAAGGAAGCTCTGACTGCAGTACAGTGAAGGGGCATGCTCAGGAAGGCCGTGTGTTTCTCTCATGTAGGACACCACAAGCGATTCCCTTATGTCATATGACACCGTATGCTGCTTATGCAGCTCGCTTCTTATCGCTTACGAAGGACATTGCCTTAACGCCACTGCCTCTAGATACAGCACATGTAACTTTTCGTCACCCGGACTCGTCATGTACGTCGTCTGCGTATGGGATGTGCCTAGATCATGTAATTTCGTAACAGCGATAAGAAAGTTGATCTATAATAGAAACATTGAGGGCTTTCGAGAAACTCTACTGCACTGAATCCCGAGATAAGGTTATTTTTGTAGAGATGTTATCAGTAGGCCAATGCTACTAGCGTTTGCAGCTGTCAAGAGACAGAGGTTCGATTCCCGGCAGGAAGAGGGAATTTTGTTCTTGTCACCGCTTCGAGAGTGTGGCCCAACCAGCCCTTATGCATTGGGTACCGGGGGACATGGAGCCTCACCACTCCATAAATTACCAAAATGTAAGAAGCATCCGCTGCTCCATGCTCTGTGGTGATTAAACACAGGGACAGATTCTCTTGCCGTTTTTAAGAGACAAGGATGTCCCTGGTGTTGAATTGAGCACCATGCCACGAAGACATGGGAATTGTGTATTAATGTTGTTATAATTACGCAGTTAAACATGTAGGAAGTGCTCCTCGTAATTGTTGACAAAACTCAGCCCGTGTAATCACTGCAAAGAGTGGCGCCTTTGATTAAAAAGCTGGAAAACAGAAGCTTACAGCGCTTTCACACGTGGCTCATGTGAGCGGCTAACGCGATCTGAAGCGACTGCTGGGGATAGAAATCCCAGCAAAATGCACTGGACCCTTTCAGACGAGAGACGGTGAACCTGTGAGCGACTGATGAGCTACTAGTAGCGGCTACTGGCGTTGAGAGTTTTGCCTGCTTTAACATGGAACCCTTTCACACGAGGCTCAGTGTGCTGCAGATCAAGCCAGTTTAGCCAATGCCTATATACGGGAGAGGCACATTGTGGGAAAGAAAAACTTTTGTAAGTAGTTTGTAATAGGTAATATTTGTTAATCATTATAATATTTCTACTATAAAATATTACTATTTATTATAATGTGTTGAATAAGTAATTGAGCTTGGATCAGCTCATCAGTAGCTTCCTTTTCAGAGCCACCTCTAGCTACTTGGATATGGGAGAGAGATGTGAGACCTGAACTGTAGAGTTTTTTATCCGGAATAATAATTTGTTAATTTTATATAATTTTATTAAATATTGTTATGAAAATGGAGTACTTTGCTTACCTTAATGTAACAACGATTCTCTCCTCAGCCGGAATACATCTTCTCATAGCTGTCTCCCTCTCACAAAAGGAGCCCATTTAGGTATTGTACAACTCATCAAATGATGCAGTTGACTTTTGAAAGTAATTAAAAAACTTATTATCATCTTCCCTCAGTTCACTGTACAATGTATAAAAACTACCGTGTGTAAGTCTAGCACTAACAATAGTAAATCCAATACAATCAAAGCAACCTCTTCTTCAAGTTCCAACATGATTTCATGAACGCCGCTAATACACCGAAAATGTTTTGCTGGA